GCACTCCACCAGAGATGTCCATCACTAACAGATTGTCTTCAGGTTGTTGGGCTGTTCGTGACGTTTGGCCGGAGACACCAACATGCTCCTCTACTGCATCGGACAGTCTTCAGTCTCTGAGTACTACAGCCAGTGTCGGTCTCTGGATCATAACAAACAAAAACCATAACAATGAGAAATGGAGCGAAGGAATACATTTTTACTACAACTCTAACAACAAGTCTCCATTACAGAAATGTGGAGTTTCACAGATATTAACACTTACATAATCATTTTTGGAGCTTGAATCTTCGAAGAATCCATGGAGGGATCAGGAGGGGGAGGTTAGGCTGGAGATTCATCCTCAACCAGACTGGTTCTAATATATACAAAAAGGCAATAAAAGGGTTAAAACATGCTGCAAAACGTATATAAGAAGACACAACAGAAACCATATTTAGATATAAACTTTAAAAACAATAACAAAACCACGTTTCTGCTTTAATGAATGGAAGAAATGAAGGAAATTTTCTCAGATTTTTGTGTCAGATTATTTCTGTCTGAATCTGTAGATTCATTTTGTAGAAGCCAACGATCCGATTGTTTCTGTGTTTCAGGACGGGCCGGCGGAGCCACTGCTACCGCATCGTCTACCGCCACATGGAGCGAACTTTGACCCAGCAGGAGGTCCGGCAGGTCCACCAGCAAATCGAGCGGTCAGTGGAGGCGGAGCTGGGCGTTCAGGGCCGGTTCTGACCGAGCAGCGTAGATCTACACACAGAGCAGCGTAGATCTACACACAGAGCAGCGTAGATCTACACAGAGCAGCGTAGATCTACACACACAGAGCCTATGCGCCGCAGGGAGAGTTGAGGCGTCCGTCTGCTGCAGCTCTTCGTCATCCTCCCTCCGCTCCTCTGCAGCCTCAACGTGTGAATCTGACGCGCGTCGCCTTTAATTCCCAAAAACATCGTCTGTGCGTCGGACGCCAGCAGCTGTCTGCTGATGTCCAGCAGGTCTGAGGACGGACACCTGGCTGTTGAACCCTGATGACTTCCAGCTGCACTTGATGTTAAATTACCTATAAAAACTAATTTTTTAAAAAAATTCTGTGTAAAATTAATTTGACTCTTGAACCTTTTTGGGACAGAAAGTTTGACTACGTTCAGCTGTTTGGACACATAGGAGGAAATTTATCTGAAATGTTTTTGGAAATTATGTTTTGAATGTTGACTAAAGAGGAAAAGTTAATAAAAAGTTTGCACTAACCTGGTTGCATAAGAGTTTAATTCTTGTCTGTTAATTTAACTCCAGATTCAGTTTCAGCTGCCATCAATCTGATGTACCTGCCCAGGTAACCACAGGTCCACAGAAGAAATATTTAGAAATGTTTCCACCTGTTTCACGTTCAGCTGATGACATCCAGGCTTTTCTGTCCAACTACCCAAAAACTACAAAGTCACTGAGGAAACATTTAATTATCTAAGGAACATAAAAACCTGATTGAGATTTCAGTTTATCTGTTTTTTGTTGCTCTGTTAGGAATCTGGGTTCTACTATTGATAAGATTTTTAAACTAGACCAACTGGATGTTGAATCAGTCTTTTCCAAATTGTTTGTAGAAGTTAAATTGAATCTCCCAATCAGACACTGAGACTGATCTATGATCCCAGATGATCAAACCGACTGTCTGCTTAGATCAATATGAGCTCATATCAGCTTCTGGTCTGTTTAAGGGTTCATTCCCACCAGTCACTTCAACCCGACTCCAGTCCATCTGCCTAGTCAAAGTCCGGTTCGGTTGGGGAGGTGTGAACGCTAACCGACTTCCGACCTCTGGTCCTCCAAGCCTGGGTCTGGGTTCGGTTGAAGTGAACTCTGGTTGGTTTGAATGAACGCCAAGC